CGGGGCGGCTCCCCGGCCCGGGGGGGCTGCACGGCACCGGGGGGCTGCACGGGGACACGGGGCTGCACGGCACCGGGGGGTGCACGGAAACATGGGGCTGTACAGCACCAGGGGGCTGCATGGGGACACGAGGCTGTACGGCACCGGGGGGCTGCATGGGGACACGGGGCTGTACGGCACCGGCGGGCTGCATGGGGACACGGGACTGCAGGGCACTGGGGGGCTGCAGGGCACCGGGGGGCTGCATGGGGACATGGGGCTGCACGGCACCAGCGGGCTGCACGGCACAGTGCGGAGCTGCACGGGATTCCAGCGGTGCACGGGGACCGGGGGGCCATGCAGGGGGTGCACAGGGCTTGGGGGCCGCAGGGGACTGGGGCTTGCAAAAGCTTCAGGGTTCACAAGGGTTTGGGGGTGCTGAAGGCTGAGGGTTGCAAAGTCGGGGGATGCTGCATGGGTGGCGGGTGCGTATGTTCTGAAGGGTTGCAAGGGGCTGGGGCAGGGCTTGTCTGGGGCCGTGGGAACAGTCAAGGGGCTGGAGCTGGGACTTGCAAGGGCTGGAGCGGGGTGGGGGTGTCTGCAAGGGGCTGCGGGGAGCTGGAGTTGTGGTTGCTCTGCTTCCCTCTCCGGAGGCCCAAGGGCCGGGGTTGCAATAGGAGCGGCCGCACGCAAAGCCACAGGCCCCACGGGCACAGCCCTCAACGGTCCATGTGCCCATCCCAGCCTCGCCTTGGGGTGCCCCCCACCCCGCTTGGCCTCAGCAGGGTTTCCTAGGGCGGCTGCGTGGCGCCGGCACCGCGGGAACGCCAGCGGGGCCCTTCCTCTCCAGCGGTACACGGCAGCGGTGCATGCATTTGCGGCGCTGCCTGCCCACGCCGGGCCCTTGGCGTGCCCTTCCTGCGCGCCCCGTGCCAGCTCGGGGGGGCATTAAAAATTTCCCTCCCCTCCGAAGTCCTACTACGATATTTTTGCTTGCTTGTGCACCGGGTAATACAAACCCTGCTAATTTCCCTGCGAGCCGAAGCCCTGCCTCTTTGCGTAATTATTCTGCTTGGCAGCTGCCTTCCCTCTGCGAGTTGCTGTGCGGAGCCTCTGCCGCCCGTATGGTTGTTGTATTACTCATCCTCGCCCGCTTCCCAGGGCTTGGGCGCTGGGGACCGCGGCAGCCCTGCCAGGCGGTGGGTCACCGCTGCACAGCTGTTGCACAACCACTGCCGGGGTGTTGGGTGGCACTGCCGCTGCAGAACCGCTGCACAGCACCCACGGCGGGGGGTTTGGGCGGCACGGCCCCGGCAAAGCTGCTGCACAGCCGCTGTACAGGCAGTGCACGGCCCTGGCGTGACCGATGCACCGCCGCTGCGGGGTCACTGCATCGGCACGGCACGGCCATTGCGCTGCCATGGCACAACTGCTGCACGGCCACTGCATGGCCATTGCACAGCCACTAAATGGCCACTGCGTGGTCACTGCACAGCCAAGCTCCCCCCCCACGTCACCCCACTGACAGGGTCACAACGGGACGGTGCTGCAGCACTCAGCCCCAGCCCCCCCCACCCTCTTGGCCATCCCAACCTCCAGCTCCGGTTTTGCATCCCTCGTTCCCAGCGGGAGGCCCACGGAGCTGGGGGGCCTCACCCCGCTGTTGCACTGCCTGTGCTGGGGGAGCATGAAAGTCTCGACAGCTTTTGCATCTACACTGGTCGGCACGGTGTGCGCACACCGCGCAGCGTCTGGGTAGCACCGCACACCCTGCGTGCGCTGCCTGCCTGCCCTGCCTGCACTTCCCAGCCTGAAGCACTGGGATTTTGCCCATTCCTGCCCCTCCCTGTGCTGCCCTCATTCCCTTATGGGACCTTTCTCGAGGAGCCTCTCGCGGGTGAGCGTCATGGCACCGCTGGCACATCCCCGCCGGCGAGGGCCCAGGAGCGGCGGAGGAGAATCCGCCCCCGCGCACAGCTGCACGCCCGCCCCGCTGCCCCCCCCCGGCTTTGCATAGGCAGCACCGGCTGGCACATGCAAATGCCGGCGGTGCGTGTGCATTTGTACACGCGGTACACGGCACAGTCCCCCGCCGGCGCACACATCGAGGCATCGCAGGCCACCAACCGTCACCAAGGCAGCCCAAGAACGCTCCCAAGGCAGAGCCCCAGTTTTCTGGGGTGCCAGCATGGGGCTCCTTTGGGCTCTGGCCGCTCACTGGGAGAGCAGGGACCTGAGCGGGGTGACCCCGCTCTCAGCCGAACAGTCTGTCACACATCCACCCCCATGCAGTGCAAACCACTGAATACATTGCAAAACCTGCCAGTAAGTGCCCGACTGGTGCTGTGCCACGAGCCCAGCAGTGACCGAGCCGTGCCCGCAGACCTGCCCGTGGGCACCTCGCAGGGACCTGCCGGGAAAAGCTGCAACCTCTTTGGCTCCTGGATAATTTGGGGTGCAGATGAAGGATGCTATCGTATACCTGGCACTGGCCAAGGTGGCCGAGCTGAGGCTAAGCCAGGTGGCTGTGAGGCCACAGGGTCTTTGCAGCGAAGGCGGCCAGAGCAAGGCACGGCCACCCTGCCAGGGCCACCATGCAGGCAGGAGCTGCCCGTCCACCGGCGGGACAGGCAGGCAGGCAGCGGCTCTGCAGCATGCGTGGGACGGCGTGGGCAGGAGGGAGCCGCGCCGCATCCCCCCCGGCAGCGTTTGGGTGGCGGGGTCTGCTTCGTTTCCATTCCGCGCACGCAGCCTGTAATTTTGGTCTATTGAAGTCGTAATTCACTACTGTGAAAATAAACATTTGTGTTAGCTCGCTTTATTCAGCGGGCCTCGTCTGAATGTTGATAATTCCCTGCCAGCATGCTTGCACGTGGCCTCGGCCACCGGGACAAAGCCCAGGTGCCCTTGGCTGTGCCGTGGCCATGGCTGTGCTGATGCCCGCAGCCACCTC